TGTTAGCACTTGTCAGCCGCTGACAAGTGTCAGCTGTTGCCATTGTGGTTCTAGTCGCTGATTTGCGCTTCTCTTCCGTCCATCTTCTTCGTTTACCGTAAATAAATATGCGCACAGTGTGTTTATTTAGAATTCAATTCATAGATAAATTGCAGTCTCATTAATTTTCATTAGGCAGTGATCTATTGAAGAGTTGATAACTAACTTTCTTCACGAGTTGGTTGATGAAAATAATTCCATGTCAAACATATGCACTTGTGTGTGTTAGTGGGCGAATGCACGTGCACGTTTGCTTGCATCTTCTCTGCTGGCATAAGCTTGTTTTATGCAAAAATATCGCACACCTTTCGGTTGCATAATAAATTAGATTAAATTGATTGCGAAAGCGTGTAGAAGGGGCAAGTTGCTTTGCATAAAAATCGAGTATTTTGTACATTTGTATATAGTATTAGTGTCACAGGCTTACGTTCAGCTTCTTCGGCAATTTATTGTTCGGATGAGCGTGCTTTGCTATTACGCAATGTGGTTTGAAATTAAAAATACGGAAAAAACTTAAAAAGTTGTAAATATGTAAAATAATCAGAGGTCACATATTGATAACTGGTGGAATAACTCAAGTAAATACCTGAAAAAGAAGCCTTCCTTTTGTTCTGCTACCACAGGCTACTACCGTATTTAATACTTTCTGTGGTAGAAAAAATAGTCCGCAATTATGTAGTGCTCTGATCAGCATAGCCATTATTTTTCACTGTTTAGCACAGGTTACGATTTTTGCACCCCGAACAAGGTATATTAAGTTTGCCACGAAGTATGTAACACCCAGAAGAAACGCGGATACCCTATAAAATACATATATAAATATGTATATAATTGATCAGCATGACGAGCTGAGCAGATTTAGTCAAGTCTGTCTGTCCGTTTGTCTGTACATACGCAAACTAGTACCTCAGTTTTTGAATTATCGATCTGAAATTTTGCACACGTCCTTTTTTCTCCAAGAAGCTAGTCATTTGTCGGCATCGCCGATTTTTCTCGCGAGAACCTGAAGAGATGTCTTATCGGATTTATTCACTGTCCAAGCAGATGTTTCCATGTTTGTAAAATTCTTTAGCATCCTATTTGTAATAGCTGATGTCAACTAGTGCTACTTTGGAACTCTTTGGATGTTAGTAAGAGAAAAAGATTTTGCGAAAGATGTAGTTATGTATTATGAACACTATAACTTATATCACTCTGGGTATAATATGTTAACATCGTATGTAGAAATTTTTTGAATGTCGAGCTGTTTAAACATGTCTCTCTAAAGAGATCCAAAAGAACTAAAAAAGGTGAAGGCTTTTATTAAAGGGGGGTAGTGGGAGTGCCAACAAAGAAGATGAGAAATAAAATATGATTATCACTCGAACATACGCAAATGGCCGAGTCTAAGCATTCTTTCGTTGAGGTTATACACACACATACACACACCACTTTCTATTTGTACTATTTATTCTATTATTATTTATTTGCATTTTTGAATGCAAAACAATATAAAATAGAGATATTTATCGATATATAATATGTATTTTAAATATATAATATGTATTATACTGTTTACATAAAAACAGTCAAAATATTGATTTTAAATATTTGGTGAAAAGTCATTCGGCCACTATACATACATATATAAACTATGTGGGCACTATGTGTGTGTGTAAGCTGTACACAAAAATTTAGTAGTTGACAATGCGAGCTTGTTGTAGTGCTCTGCATTGCTTTTTGGTCATCACTCAAAGGTGCTCATAACCAATAAGCGGCTTTCACCAAAAGCTCTTGAGTTGACCATTAGCCTTTTAGAATTACAAATCACTAAATTGTTGTTGGTTTCACAATGCACACCACAACATGATCTGCTTAAGCATAAAGCTATTGACTTATTGGAAATCTCTCTTTAAGAGATTGTTGATTCTTCTCATATCCGTTTGGGTTTATTATTCCTAAGAAAATCTTAACTGGTAAATTTCAAATCATCATATGAATCAGGTTCAAAGTTAAATGTGGGGTAATGAAATTTAAAGATGCATGTGAGCTGAAGTAATCTCTAATTAAATATATTCATATTTCCCTTCATCATCCTTTCAAACTCCTCGCCGTCAATCTAACCAGAGCTCTACAAAGTTATAATAACTAAACTAAAAACAACAAGAAAATTCGTCTGCAGTCTCGCGGTATCAAGTCACTTTGCGTAAGACGGTTTAAGTTAGTATTCGCAATCTCTTTAAAGGAGCTTATATATAACTCTATTAAATGGTGTGCATAATTTAAAGGCGATGATTTCGGCTTGGAAGACAAAGAACGTCGTGGACGGCTAAAAAGTTTGAAGCGTTAAACTGGATTCATTGCGTGATGCAGATTGTTGGCAAACACGAGAAGACTTCACTGAAATTTTGTGAGTCATTCAAGCAGCCTTTTCCAAACGTTTAGATACATTCAAAAGCATGACAATTGGCTGTCAATTGAATTGCAGTCTAGAGACTTTGAAAGATGATTTTGTATGTCAGAAATGCTGCTTGAACGCTACGAAAAATCGTTTTTGCATCGGATTATGATTGGTGATGAGAAATGGATCCATTACGACAACTCTAAACATAAAATTTCACAGGCGATACCTGTTCAACCAGCACAATCAACGGCCCAGCCAAATATCCCTGACGCTAAGGTAATGCTCTGTACTTGGTGGAATCAGAAAGATGTGCTGTATTATAAACTTCTAAAATCGGATGAAACCTTTAATGGGAGCGATTATAAATAAATAAAATGAGCGATTATAAATAAATAAAAACGAAAAAAAAAAACGTTAAAATTTTGAAAAATAACACCGCACGCATGGACATAGTTATAGACCCATATATGTACATTTGTACAAGTATAATCGAATAACACCGTTACTTAACCTCATTTTCCTACAAATTATTGTGGAAATCATAAAAACTCTTGACAACCAAATATAAAACACGATGACCCTAATTATGTAACTAACCGCACGCTAAGTAAAAAAATACATATACATATATACTAAGTAATGTCCGTGTTTAAATGCTTCCTAACATTAATCAAGAATAGAAAACATTTTTCGCGGCCGAAATTTCGAAACATTGACCCTAATTACTCTCTGCTGTGCTCAATATATTGCTAAAAAAAGTTGAAAAAAACTAATTTATTATTGACAATATTGGTATTTAATTTAATCGCGTGCAGAAATGTGGAATACACACATACATACTCATGTAAATTTATAATAAATGATTTTCAATACAGAAGTATAATGTTTATTCATAATTTTTAACGCTGTACTACAATAGTAATTTCAAGCCGAAAGAACAAATACACATATTAATACGTATGTAAGTGAATTAGATAATATATGTATGTATATGTATTAAAAAAATTAATTTTAAATTAAAAAAAAACGGAACTCTTCATCATATCTGAATGCATTTTTAAATTTCCGAATAATCATAGTTGGCAACGCAAGAAATTGTTGATTAACCGGCAGCACATAGTACAGCTACAAACCCACTATTTGTAAGATAGCCGAAAATCATAAAGTCTATGGTGGTGTCTACGCTACTATAAGTTTATATTAAATACAACCAAAACACATTAGACTTTATTAAAGCAGTTGTTAGGGGAAAACTGATATTCAGAATAATGGTAAGTAATGATTTTGTAACTATTGTGTAAGGATATTGACTTGCATAGTTACTAGTAGTTACTGACAATAGTAGTAAAGATAACAACCATATTATATTTTTGAGAGTTGGCAGCCCTGCGTTATGAAGTAAATTTTTTGACAGCAAGAAAATAAATGACAGTTGTCCGTGCCCGTGGTCGTGAATTTGCGATTTTTTTGTGGTGCATTTGATATATTTTATTTCTGACACAATTCTCCTTTGTCTGTCGCTCTGCGGTGTTTATAGAGTATTTGGAGTTTCCTGCGTAAAGTTTTTGTCCGATAGATGAATAAGACGAGCGCATAATCAAGCGAAAAAATTCAGTAATTCAAGCAAACATTGTGTGTGAAAATGTCGAACTCAAGCGTTGGCGATAAAATTGTAAGTTTTGTTTTTATACGTTTGTGATTTCTGGTTTGTTTCGTAAATGTTTTGTTTTCTTATTGTGTTGATCTGCATAGTATTGCATTGTTTTGAAATAAAAGGATGCTTTGGCCAAAGATACGCTGTAGCCGGTAAGCAGTTATAGCTGCTGTGCGCACATACATATTTATGTATATGTATAAATTATCAAAATTAGATAAAGTGAAGGAAACATTTCCCAATTTGAAATAGTTGAAATAAAATCGAATATTTATCATATATGTACGTGTAAATCATTTACTATTTTTGTATGTCTGCTTTAAATGCTATCTGCAGCCGGTTAATGCCGGCAAAAATCAAAAAAGTCAATAGAAAAAAGCCGGCACAACACGAATTCATCCTCAACAGCATTCATACAGCTGTGAAATACAAACAACATCAATAAAGTTATCACAGATAATAATATGTATGTACATAAGTCGTCACAGTGGTAAAGTAATGGCCGGCAGACTCTCGGGCAACCAGGTAGCATCTTCGAAAAATAAGAAAGCAATAAACAAAAGTATTAACTATATATTCGCATACATAAGTGAGGCAAATCAGTGTTAAAATTTGGCAAACTGTTGTGTTGAACCTATTTGGATACCCGAAGCGTAGCTATACGCTTGCTTCACTCACCCACCCACCCACTATTGCTCACTTGCACCCACACAATATACGCAATATAATATATGCATATAAAGGAAAGAGAAAATTTCGGTAAAAATAACGCGCGTCTTTGAACTTGCAAGCAATTAATGGCAAATGACACTGTGTCACAAGTTTTTGAAGATTATTACTCTTTCTCTGTAAAATTAATGAAATTTTCTAAAATAACATTTAAACCTATCTATAAATGCAATTTATATGTAATAAGTATTTCGAGTACGATTTTCAAAACACTAAGTGCTATAAAAAAAAGGGTCAACCTTTTTATTTATTTTTTCTAAAAACAATTTAAACTCTGCAGTAAATTCCAACTCCCGAACACGTTAAAAGCTAAATTAAAAAATTGTACCAATTCAGGTGATTAGGAGATCTTAACAAGAAAAAACGTTAACTTTAATTGTGTCGAAGCTATAATACCATTCACAGGTAAATTTTTTATAGCCTAACGTCTTTGTGTAGTATATGCTATAGTTGTTTTGACAAATAAGCAGCTTCTTGGAGACAAAAGACAAAGGTAAAATTTCAAAACGATATCTCAAAAACTATGCGACTATTTCGCGTATACACAATAGAACAGACTGACATAGCTTAAACTACTCAGCTCCTTACGCCGATCATTTATACATATATGTACATGTTACAAACATCTTAATATACCTTATTCAGGGTATAAAACTACAAAAAACCAATTGTGTTATTCTGTTATAAGTTCCTTATATTTAGCCAAATGCGCAGCACACCACATAAAATGCATTCAGTGTGCAGCAGCCGTTAGCAATATCAACAAGTGCCATTGCAATAAAAAATCGTCTATTTTAAAAGTACCAGTAAGGTACTTCTACGCGCGACAAATTCCCCATAATTGGCCTACCTAAAAGTATGCATAAATTAAGTTTGTAAAAGAGTTAAAAAAGTTCAAAAAAAAAAGAAAAAAATATTTGAAATCGTTTAAAAATGTCGATAATCGAATTGGAATCATTATTGTATCGCAAACGGAATGTGGTATATGCTTTTGTGCGCCATAAGCTAATGCTGCTCTGTAAACAGTCGGTAAGAAAACAAATGGAAATAAAGAATCTGCAAATACTCCATAACGATGACGTTTCCTTTATAATACAATCATTTAGTACCCACGTGTCGCACAGTTTATTCGGAAATGGCCAATTACAAAGTCGCTAAAATGAACTTGAATATTTGGCATGCATTCTAAATTTATTTAGTAGACAAAAAAGACAGACAGATTAAAACCAAAAAAACAAAATAAAAATAAAATAAAATAAAGAAAAGCATAAAATCAAAATACAAATGTAATACTAAAGAGTAAAGCAAACTTCTCTACATACCTACATAAAAATATGCAACTGATTAATTGAAAAATATTATGTATAATAAATTATCGCAAATTTTGATTAAACACATTTTCTTCTTCCTTCCTCCAGTTGATACGCGTGCAGTCCGCTGAAGGCATAAAACGTATCGAGATTTCGCCGAAAGCTAACTTAAAGGAGCTCTTCGAAATGGTGCATCACAATCTCAAAATTGACGGCTTCGGACTCTTCAAGGAGCGCAATTTTCTTACAGAGGTAGGCTTTTCAAATCTAATTAGTCTGTTTGCGTACTAATTGAAGATTTTATGAACATTGCAGTTGCATTCTAGTCAGTCGCAGAAAATTGGCAACTGTCTTAAACATGGTGACATGCTGTTTCTAAAGAAAATAGCTGGTGGATCGATTCGTGTAAGTTGCTAATTCAGATATTTATGGCATATTTAAATTGTAAGACAATAGCACTAGTTTTAATGGAGAGCGCCTTTACCCTAATGTTCGATTAATGATAACCACTCTTCCGATAAGCGTCTTATCCCACAAGTACATATGCCTATCTCTTAATACTAATACATAGAGTCGTATATACACTCATCGATATTTACATAAAAGTCAATTATTTTATCGACATTTTTATCCATCCACCAGCGTACTAGCACCACAGCCATTGATGATTTTGAGACTTCGAGCGTTAATTTAACGGCAGCAAGCAGCACGAAATTATTTCAGCCATCTACCGCCGTCATGGAAGATGAAGTGGATCAAACGTTAGCCAAAATAGATGGCTTAATAGAACGTCCACGTGATGCCAAACTGTAAGTTGAAATTTTAACACATATTCAAAAAAAAAAAGAAGTAAATTTTTCATAATTAAATTATTTATTCTCTTCACGCTAGCTGTCGTCACAATGCCAATGGTCGTTGTGTGCATTGCTCACCACTTGAACCGTACGATGATAACTATCTGAAGGAGCAAAAGATCAAACATTTGTCTTTCCATTCATATATACGCAAACAAAAGTCGGGCATTGATCGTGGCAAGTATGTCGCTTTCGATGATATCAATTGCCGCATAAAGCCAGGCTGTCGTGAGCATCCTCCATGGCCCAAGGGTATCTGTTCCAAATGTCAGCCATCGGCTGTAACGCTAAATCGTCAAATTTATCGACATGTTGATAATATTATGTTCGAGAATCCAACAATAATTGAGCGTTTTCTCGACTATTGGCGTACAACAGCTCATCAGAGAATGGGTTACCTATATGGTACCTATGAGGTACATGCCGATGTGCCACTTGGTATACGTGCAACTGTGGCGGCCATTTACGAGCCGCCACAGGAATCGACACGTGATTCGATTCGATTGTTGGACGACGAAGCAGCTGCTGAGGTGGATGAGTTGGCGCAGGCTTTGGGTTTAAAGAAAGTGAGAAACATCGGAATTCTTATTAACAATAATGTGCTTGAATTACAATGTTTTCCCTTCATTTTTTTTGTATACTTTAAACAGGTTGGTTGGATTTTCACTGATCTCATAACCGATGATCCAGCTGTTGGTAGTGTCAAGCACTTACGTGGCATTGAGACGCATTTCCTCACTGCGCAGGAGTGCATCACCGCGGGTGAACTGCAAAATCGCCACCCGAATCCATGCAAATATGGCTCTAGTGGTTACTTTGGCTCGAAATTCGTTACAGTGTGTGTAACAGGTAAGCGTATTATATTCGAAATTAATTAAAATGCTTAATTATTGTGATATTTTGTTCCAGGCGATAGCAGCAAGCAAGTGCATACAGAGGGATATGCTGTATCAGCTCAATGCATGGCTTTGGTGCGTGACAATTGCTTAATACCCACCAAAGATGCACCCGAATTGGGTTATGTACGTGAATCAACAGATAAACAATATGTTCCAGACGTATATTATAAGGTGAGTCAAATATTTCTTGGTTTTCTACTATAATAAAATCATTATAAAAAGCTTTAAAGAAAATAGCTTAAAACATAAAAATATATGCTTCCCCACATCATTTTCTCTACATTTATAATAATTACGAATTGCTTCAGAAGCTGTCAGAAACCATATAAAAAACTATGTGAATGATCAGCACGATGAGCAGAATCGATTTAGCCATGCCCCTTTGTCTGTATATATGTGAACTAGTCCCTGAGGTATTGAGGTATCGATCTAAACTTAGCACACGTCTTTTTCTCCTTAAGAAGCTGCTTATTTATCATAACCAACCATCCGACCACTATAGCATATAGATGACATACAAACTCTACGATCAAATACATGTTCTTGTATGGAAACTTCTTTTCTCTTCTTCTTCTTTTTTATTTGACGATATATCTTCACGAAATTAGGCACAGAACTAAGAAAACGGTACAGTCTACGAAGAAATTGCTTAGATCGAACAATTATAGTATATAGCTGCCATACAAACTGACCGATCAAAATCAAAACAAAGACTTTTCATGCTATAAGAAATGCACCTGTGAAGAGTCTCCTTAAATACACTGATGCGATTCGATTATACGTACCACATATGAAAGACACGATCAACTACAAACAGGCACAAATTATTATAAATATATTCCTGTAAAATATGTTGAGTGAACTAAACGCTATCCACAGCATAAAAATCACTTGAGCCTCTTAAAAAATACGTTTTGAATACGTTGACAGTATCGTTTAAGTAAGAATACTGATAGGTAACAAACATCTTTTCTTTAAACTTGACCACTCCTCTTAAATCTTAATCTGAAGACTATTTTTTGAATCCGTCAAAACGATTTTCCTTGATTTGCTTGTAGAAATCGATGACAACAAACATTACATAGCCTAGCTAACCACTATATCAAAGCAAACTTGCTATATATATATCTGATAACACAGGGTCAGAAAACTATAATTTTTTCTTCCTCCGTTACTTCCGTTCGAAGAATATTATCGTACCAAGGTAACCGCCATTCAACACATCACTATTAATCATATAGTCATATAGCTCAATCCTAGATTATATTTCCAGTCCATAATTCGTGAGCTGAATCTCCAAGGACGGATTCATCTTCAGTTGTCATGGTATTAAGACAATTGTGGTTAAAGATTTTTGCAAACATTTTCGAAAGGCGACTTAGTTCTTAAATTTCCCACTCAGTCAATTGTTGCCAAGGCTGATCCTACATTTTTTCATATCTTACAGTTAATCTCGCTTTCGAATATTTCGTTGTAAATAATAACCGAACTGGAACAATCCAGTAAACATTTTAGTTTGATACTAAAAAATCATACTTGAGTTCTCAACAAAAAGTGCTTTTTGGAACGACAATCATTACGTTTATCAACTACTTGTAAAGCAAGCAACACTTCCCAATTTGTTATTTTCGAAAAATTGAAAACAAAGTGTGCAGAGAAGCTCGATATTGGGTTGAGAACGTTCCAATTTTCAATTTCATACATTCTTTAATACTCTGTAGTCTCCATCTCAACAATATTGTCGAGTTCAGTGTTTTGTTCACATTACGTTTGAAGTTACTGATTCAAGTGCATTTCAAAGTTTCCATTATATCTTCTGTTTGCAAATATTTTTCGATAAATTTCGAATACAGATTATTTCCCGCATATCTTTCAATTATTTGCTTTGTTATTTCAATTTTCTTTCGTCCGATAATTTTTGGTTGTGTATCATTTTACTTAAATTTTCGATATTTTTCCGATTAGTCGCTTATTTATCGATACTACGTATACGATCAGATAAATCCATTTTTTGCGAAAAATTGTTTTTTTCGATACATAAATAATTTTCCGTTATATCGATTATATTTGGATAGTTCGATTTTGTTTTCGATGATTCGATTACTTTTTCGATAACTCGTATATTTCGATGAATTCATTCGTTCGGTAGCTCGAAAATTCGATTAATTTTGATAATTCCTACATGTTTCGTTAACTTGTGCTCCCGATTATTTTTGATAACTCTAATGTTTCCCAATAATTCGATTATTTTTCCAATACTTGGTTTTTTTCTATTATTTTCCCCATAGTTTGATTATTTTTGCTAATCCGATTATTTTGCGATAGGTCGAGTGTTTCCTGATAAATCGATTTATTTATCGGTAACTTTTCAATAGCTCGAGTCTTTCCTGATAAATCGATTAATAGCAGATAATTCGTTTATTATTCGAAAATGCATCGGTATAGTGGGTTTATTCTTAAATTGAGATAAATATATATAAATTCATTTCTCTCAATTTGTTGTCAGATTTGTTGTGCGTTAATTTTTCGATTTAAAAAGATTGATTTATTGACTCAATTTAGGAGGATTTTGAAAATTTCGTCACTCAAGTTTCCCCACCCATTAAAAGACGTTTCGCTTCCTGCCCATTTATTCATAAACAAGACATTTAACATAACATTTAATAACATATTCCTTTTCATACAATTTCATTTAGTTTTTTTTTCGATATTTATTATTAATAATATATTTTATATTTTTCTGCATGCTCACATTAACTTATCAGCGTTTAACATCCAACAATAATTTCTGTTCATTATCATATGTAATACATTAACGCATTTTTATACTTAATGTGGAACTCAATTTACGTTTTCCCCATGAGCTAAAGAATAAATAATTTTTAAAACTAATAATTTTATATTTAAGTACACACATTTCTTAATTATTCTTGTGAATCTAAATCATAAATGAAGTAAGAGGAATGTACAGAATGAACTTTTGAACTTTTGAACTTTATTCGCAGTCTGTTATGAATTTCGAAAAACAAAAAAGACTACCAATGATACTTTAAAGATTACATTTTTTTCGTAATATAATAATAATTTACGTAATTAAATATAGCTAAATCAAGTACAATATTTTCGATTATGATTTTCTTTTCGTATTTTATGTTTTTGTTTAAAGTATTCAGTAATGTCTTTATTTTATTTTTTATTTTCTATTTTGCATTACACTTATTTTGTTCGTTTTTTTTTGGCTTTGTGTTTTTGTTTTTAAGATTTTATTCACTTTGTACCAAAATATCTGCGCTCTGGGATTGTCCATTTCATAATGTTCTAATCCACTTTTGGGTTTGCTTAAATTCAATATGAATTTCTTTTTGAAATCACGACTTTTCTGCCACACTCTGTATCCTAAACTTTCCATTCATTCAAATGCTGTTTTACTCATAAATATGTTTATTAAATTTCACAATGCTAACATTGAATATAATAGACATTTAAATACAATTAACACTGCTTTATGCTTTACATTGGATAATTGGATATGCCTTTTTTGTAATTATATTATTTTTGACATAATTAGTATTCTTTAACAATTACTTTTTAATAGAGTTTTTGGAAAACATTTAAAGCATTTCCAGTTCGGAGTGGCAAAGTAGGCATTGAAATTATTAATATATATATATTTTTTTAAAAGCGTAAGATAATTTAACAAAATGTTTCAAACTACTCGTAAATATATATTAAAAGTTATATCAAAGCACTTTTTCTACCAAACCGACGTAATAATTTGTACATATATTTTTCATTTTCTGGTATTTTTCAACAAAAATATTCATATATCGGCGCTGTTTGTTGAAAATTTTAGTTTTGTACTTAACTTCATAACATTAAACTTAAAAAAAAAATATTTAAAGTTTATAGTTTAGATCTTGTTTATATATTTAAATATGTTTTTTTTTATATTTTTTTGGAAAGAACGTTGTCACTTAAAGAGTTAATGGGTGGGCTGAATTTAGTCACAAAAATACCGCTTTTTGCTTGTTTAATTACTTTATATTAGTATGTATTCCGCTTTCGAGTGCTAGATTTTAGTATAACCGTAGGTAATAAATCTAAGTCGTTGAAGAAAAACTATAATGGTTTATACCTGTAAGTTTTCGAGTGGAAAATTTGTAAATATTATTTATACATTTTTATGGCGGCTTTGGTGGTACTTGATTACATGTTCTGTTTGATTTTCTTTTCATTAGATTTGTGTACACTTGATAACCCTCAAAAAACACACTCCCTCTCTCTCTCTCTCTCTCTGATGCTGCCTATGTGGACTGTTGCTATTTTTTTTTAATAATATTTAATATTTATTTAGCACTCAATTTAATTGAGAAATTCGTTAATTGTTATTACTTTGAAGTGTTGTTGCTTTTCAATACTAGAACAATCGATATTTTTAAATGGTTCACACAGAAAAAAGTTCGCAAAATTCAACTGAGAACACTATTATTAATTGAGTCAATTAGCATTTTTACTCTATACGCTTTATTGTATAAAATCTGCTAACTGACCAAATACAGGACTATCTGAAACGTTTATGAAATGCTCCCTCTACTTTGGCAGGTCACGTTTATGTATTTAATTAAGATTTTAATTTTATCCAAATTAGCGCTTACTAAATACCATACATAGCATACTTTGTAAAATTTTTTATTAAACCTTCTAACCTTCGATTATTATAGCTGTCTTCAATTCGTTATTTCGCTGCTCGCTTCTGCTCTCTTGTCAATAAAATTACATGTAAAAGCAACAACAAAGTTATTAAGTTGAATTCGTACAAAAGAGTATGCGGACACCTGATTAAGTGGTATAGCCACATCTTCAAGTTTATAATATTTTAGTTGAGTTTTACTATTGTTACAAATTATTGTCATTGTATTTTTAAAACATAAGACTTCAAATCAATAATATTAATTTGTAGAAAACAAAAATAGAGGGTTACAGCAACATTTTTTTTAACGCGAAAAAAGCAATTACTCCACTAAGCAAGAATCATAACACTATTGCGCATGCGTCAGAAGACGTGTTAGCGTAGGGTTTGAGCATCTGCTAGAATTTGTTCGATTAGCTAGAGAGTAACGCTTGACGAATCGAAGACAGCATATATTAAGTTGGGTTATGCTATTTATTTTGTATTGACAGGAAATATAAACTTTCAGGCGCTCTGAGTCTATGTACGCTCGCAACATTTTAAAATAACTAAATTTAGTCATCACTCTTGGTAAAATGGTTTTTCAAAGTAGCAAATGCCCTACTCAATAAGAAGTATTCAACCGCATTTTCGTCTGGCAAGTATTGTGTTTGAATTTCTATTAATTCACCACTACCACAATCTTAGTTGAAAATCTATTTATGTAACTTCGTCGATAAATCGATAAAACCGTACCGTTTTAACCCAATTTTTAACGATTAATAAAACCACCAGTTTTTACGCTACCTTTGCGTTCTCCAAAGCAATCCTCGGGTCCTTCATAAAAATTATCGATAAAAATCATTTCTACTGTCCGGACCTATTTAACCGCGCGCAACCAGCATAACGCTACTATCGAATACTCGTTTGTTGAAATATATATCGTTTGAATAGAGACTTCCTAGCTATTCTTTACGAGAATAAGTAAAATTATTTGTGGGAGCGCACTTTTAGCGATTCTAACAATTTTTGAGGAAATTTCGCTGGCCTTTCATGGCAGTTTTGCCGTTATGACGAAACTCGTGAACACATTTTATGTTTGCAAATTGTTTTATTACACTACTCGTTTGACTGAACACAATTTTGTAAAATTTTATTGTTAAAATTCTGCTGCAACATTGCGTTTTCGAGAGAGCGAACAAATTAACACATTAGAGGTATTCACAGTGCGTCATTTATGTTTGCTATGTGAAGATTAACGTTGCTTAATTTTTGCTAAATAACAGCTTTCGGTTTGGGTTGCACTTACGTATTTATTTTATGGCTTTTATTTGGTTTCCCTATGAAAGTGTTGGCAGCTTTTATGAATACCCCCATTGGCAAATTGTGTATTTTGAACGTTTTTATTATCCTCCATTGCGCTCAATACACGTTTGTGACATTTTTGTACGCTAATAATAAGCTTTCTCCTTACTTAAGTTTTTTGTGGCCCTCCTTCTATTTTTTTTTTTTTTGTTTTTTAGTTTCAAAAGGTTGTTGTACGGTTAAACGCATAAAGCTTTTATAAACATGTCAATTTACTGTATTCCGCGCTGCCATATTTCGGGTCGATTTTTCGCTTGTGTTTTTTTGTTGTATATTTGTGTGTATGTATGTATGTATGTGGTTTTCATGAATATGCATGTGTTAGTTCAACAAAATCGAATGTTAAACAATCTATATATGTGTACGTTTATATGTATGTGTGTATATCGCGCATAGCTTAAGTAGTAAGTCTTTATAAGTGTATAACGTACTACATAATACATATTTATTTGATAAAGTTATTTCTTTTGGTTTTTCTAATTTTTGTAGTGCTTCGTCTGTAGCGTCGTTGTGCTACATACATATGTATAAATATCGAATTTTTCATATTTTCAATTTGTAGAATCTTTAAAATACGCAAAGAAATATAATTTAATTCGAAAATGTAAAATTTATGTTTTAAGTTATAAATTTGTTTTTTATATAAATAGTAATACGTAACAATTTTAATATATAGACGTAGACTTTTTAAATACTCTTTATATTTTTATTTTTCCTTCGAACGAAATTTATTTTTAAACTTTTTTGTATTATATACATACACATATTATTTGGTATAACTTTTCAGTTGTTATTTATCTATATCGTTTTTTTTTTTGCTAAACAATTTTTTTTTCGTATTTTACTGCATACATACATAAATAAATAAATAGCGCTCTTCTTTGGTTTGTTCATCTTAAATTTTTATAAAGTGAAAATTGCACAGCGGACATATCCATGCTGTTTTATCCGCATGTTGATATCATATGTTCTGCTAGAACTCATAGCACATTTTCAGTTCTGGAAACACGAATGTTATATCATTAAAAAATGTTTAGAAATGAAAAATTCTTGCGTACGTCACCCATCGAGGTTTTTTGAACTCATTGGCTGAGTCAGCCAGTGATACGATTGATAAATTGAAGAAAGTACGCTGTGAACTTAGTTATAGTTTTCAATATATTAGGAGAAGATACATATATTAGTTAAGTAGTTAGGAGTTAGAGATGGAAACATTCGCCTACTTTTAAGGCGTCACATTATCGAGTTAGTATCGAAATGTTAGAGTACAGTGATGACAAATGCATTACTGTAGATGGAGATTATGTTGAGCAATAACTCTCATTTTCTCCCAAAACACGTACTTTCATTGCTAGTCGAAATACTTTTTAACATAACTGATCTTGAACCTGAGTAACTAAAAGCTACTTTAGTACAATCATTATAATGTGTGGACGCTAATTCCGGCGTATCGCGCCTTAATACCCTTTTTATACCTAGGGGATATTAAGTTTGATACAATGTTTGTAATACCCAAAGGCAACGTCTCAGACCCTATAAATTCTATATATGTATATTCATTCGTCCACCCGTCCTGCTGTATATACGTGCACTGGTCCTTCAGTTTTTGAGATATCCTTCTGAAATTTTGTTCACGTTCTTTTTATCCCAAGAAGCGGCTCATTTGTCGGAACCGAACGATCAGAATTAAGTTCTTGTATGAAAAACTTTTTTATATGTGAAGATATCTTCACGAAATTTGGCATGAATTATTGTCTAAAGCAGCGCTACAACATTTAGAGAAATTTTTCAGATCTGATCATTATATCACATAGCTGCCATACAAACTGAACGATCGGAATTAGGTGCTTGTATGGAAAACTTTTTCAGTTAACGAGATATCTTCACCAAATTTGGCAATCCGACGAAATTTTTCAGATCGGACAACTATATAGCATATTTTGCCATTTTAAAATTAGAATAAAGCTGTTTTTATACCCTTTTATGCTATACAAAATACAGCTGTGAACTGTATTAAAGCATTGGTGCAGTTGAAGTTAACGTTTTTTCTTGTTTACTTTTAGTTATACGAGAAGCTCCTGAATACTTGTTGTTGATATATTGAAGGTCTTGGCGAAAAGTTTTTTCTTTAATCGAGCTAGTTTCAACTCTAATCTACCTTCTTGATTCGTTTTCTTAACGACTGATTGTCTTTAAATATAATATGTCATATTTATTCTTGATGCTTCTATATTATTTGCTTTGAGATTAATCACTCTTATAACAAAATTGAGCAAACTTCATTTTAACTATATGTCAGTTTCTGAAATATCAGTCGTACGACTAAGTAGAAATTTTTTTGAATTTTTCTTATATTACATTTTTAAGTTGCTAAAATGAAACAGTTATGTTAAATATGAAAAATTGCTTGTTGGGCCCATTTTGCTCATATCCAATGTCAAATAATTTAAATTCCAAGTTCAAGATTGTTTTATGTTATGACATCACATAAAACACTCTTGAACTTGCCTTAAGTCGCTCTCAAGTTCTGCATGTGCTCATAGACTGTCAAATTGCCAAGTTGAATCGAGTAACAACAGTTATTTTTGCGAAAAAAAAAATCACACGAATTATTAGTTGAACAGCAATTTTTGCGCAGTTTTAAATCGAATTTTTAAGCAAGTCTTGAAATGTTTGCTAAAAATGCATTCATGTTATGTATGCATGCAGATATTTTCACATTTATTTCTTTTTTTGTTAAATTCGTAAATATGTATGTATGCATATGTATGTATAATATATATTTTTTAAAGCAACGTTTACATTTAATATTTTTTAATTGTTTAATTTTTTGTTAATTTTTTGTTCCTATTGACTTCTTTAAATAGTTACATAAACAGACACATATATTTAAAACATCGAATTTAAAACATCGCTAGGCTTTATATTATATATACATATATATTTTTTAGTATTTTTATATATACGCATTTCTTATTTTTCTTTTTCTTCATATGTGTGTTTATGTATATTTATATATTATTTCTATTTTTCGCTTCTTCAATTTATATATTAGTAATTTTCTAAGGATCTGTTTGTTTGTAGCCAAGTTTATGCTAGTAAGTATGTAGATGCGATACTTGTAAATTCAAAGTATTTCCAAATTGTCTTTCACTGCTCTTAAAGCTAAAACATCGATTAATTATTATTTCTTATTTATTATAATATTTTCACAAAACACATTTATATGCTTGTGTATGTTTATTCTTTGTGACCGTTGTGTATTATGCGCATCTCAATGCCTAAAAAATATATATGCACTTTTTAGTTTAACACCATATAATTGTTTGAAAATTTTGACGTTGCCACAATTTCGCGTTTTCTTTCAATTATTACACATCGCTTGTCATATGCTATCAAACAAAAAAATTCTCAACATGCTAAAGACACTTTAAGGTGCTGCGCTGCACTGTGTTGGCTTAAAGTTCTCATTTCTTGCGAAATTTTGCTTTTGGTTAAATTTTTTTTGTAATTTTATTATTTAATTGGTTTGATTTGGCTAAATTTTGAGTTTCGCAATCACACGCTTAGTTGGTTTAAGTTTACCACTCTTTTTGTTACTACTTCTATGCCTGTATCTATGTGTTACAACTATTTGTGTTTGCATGTATATATGTATTTATGTATGTATATTTGCTTTATGAACTTTGTGTTTGTATTTGCTTCTATTATTTTGTTTTTTTATTTTATTTATCATAGTTTTGTTTATTGATTTTGAGGTTCCTAAACCGAAGGTACTTGTGTATGCATTCCCATTTGTCATTTGTAGACGCGTTTGTTTGTTTGCTTGTATGTACTATACCATATATATACCTATAGTATATATGTGAATATACTGTATCCATTATTTAGGTATTTTTTTGAAAGCTAAAATCGTATTTTAACGGCTTTTACTTATGTCGTCACATTTTTTTCGTCACTAACATTTTGGCGCTGAGTTCTTGCTTCAGCACTTGGCTTTCAACATTTCACTTTTGCAAAAATATTTCTCTCTTACAAGCTAATGCATATATACTATGCATATGTACATATGTATGTATGTTATTCGTATTTTAGGCTTGTTTTTCGCTTTTGCTTTTGTTGCTACTTTAATGCTACATAATGATAAAAAGTATGGAACGGCATTGTTATTTATTGTTTTCTCAAACGGAAGTTAAAGTTATTAGCGACTTATCATTTTTCTAACCTATGCGTTTACATGCGTATATATGTATGTATATGCATGTATGTTTATCTACTTAAGTTAAAACTTGTTTGGTTTTTATTGTACATGTAAAGCGCGTTGCCATGTTTTCTGTTTTATGCCTATTAAATTTCTGTACTCAGGCGCTTATGTGCTTTTGCGAAACGTTTACAATGTTCCGCGTTTATTTAAATTTTTGAAATTTTACCTGAAGTGAACAATACAGCAACTCATTTAATAAATTTGGCTAGATATGCCTTTTCATAGAAAATAATTTTCGCAATCAACTTTGGCACATGTAATAATAATATGAAACGAATCATCGAATTCGCAAAAATAATCACCTCACAGCATCACTCATCTTTCTGAATGACAAATCCGAGTTTTACTTTAAGAAGATATTGTCCGTAAAATGTCCAACGGCTATAATAATAAAAAATTGTCGAAACGCCAACAATTTAAAAAAAGTTGAATTTTTCCCAAAATAAAAGTCTGCAAAGGACTGGTAGATATTCGTATGTAGAGCTATATGCAGAACAACGAAAGTTCGGATCATTTGTCTCCGATAAATCGAAAATTTGAGAAAAAACGCGTTAGATAGAGATAAACTAAACTGCTAAACCATAAAAGACTGTGACTCAAAAACTATTTCAGCTACCGATTTAACATTTTAGTGTGTTATTTTCAAAGGTAAAACTAATCGAAATGAACATCTGGTCCAAGCAAACAGAACATATACGCATATTTTTCTGACTAAGAAAAGCAAGAGCATTTAGAAGAATGTTCTATAGATGTTATAGAATTAAATAATATAATAAAAAAAATCGATTTCTTGAACTCGTTAAACTCATGTAACGTCTTAAACTAGAGCTCACACAGAGCCAACATCTTCAATACTCTAGAGCACTGGTCGGCAAACTTACACATTTAAACGATTTATATTTTATCATTTCTAATTCTGATTGTGAGTTAAAAAAATAAATTTAAAATTTTTACCATTAAATTAAAATTTTTTTCTATCAAATGAAATAGTGAACAATAAAAATTTTATTTATTAATTTTTAATCCCAAAAGTGTTGAAATAAAAATTAAAAATCTAATCCTAATCCCTAGATCGGAATTAAAAAATTTTAAATTTCGAATTAAAAATTAGATTTTCTATAAGTTGTTGAAAATTTAATTTTTAGTCCAAAATTTATGAATTAAAAATTCGAACCCTGGGCATAACCTCACCTTTCTCCAGTTGATAGTAAATATAAATTGTAAATTGTTTAACAATCTATTTGCTAAAAATTTTGATTCATCAAACGTACTTTTCAAAAAAATCAAAACGAGTTATCTATCTCCTCGATTTATGGCAAAAAAATATGTAGAATTAAGCGAGCAATGCTGCATTGAGTAAAATTTTGTATTTAAATAGGCTAGGTTAGGTTATACTGGCCGACTATGACACTATCCATAGACCTACTGGTCCTTTGTAATGCCAGATGGAGCTTCAGTTTAATTTGAGCTGAAGTATTCGTCATATAGGACGTCAACGCGCTTTACGGACTTGAAAAGCGACTTGAACTACGAAGCTTTTAGACATTTAAGACGAGTTCTAGATAATGCTAGAAAGAGACATAGAAGCTGTTGTACAATATTTAAATAGAAGAAAGTATAAATAAGTTTTTGAAAATATTTTCACCAACTTATCATTTCCACCAACCTTTCACAAATGCGCATAAGCACCTTTTTCGATTTCACACGATTTTTGTCACCTTATGGCTAAGTAAAAAACAAATCGACTACTACATATGAAAAAAATTATATGCTCCCTAAATACATAGAGTTAATAAATAGCATTTGTATTTGATTTAATTGAATTTTTAGCTTTTTTACTTATTTGAAACGACGTATTGCGTAAAATTATGCAATTAATTAATTAATTGTCTTAAAATGTAATCACACAACATTTAAAGCGTAATTTTTCTTTGCTGTTTATACATTCTTTTCCATTTATTAATATATTTTTTTATTCATTGTTTGTTTTTTATGCTTTTGCTTTTTGCTAAGTCAAATCGTTACGAATACATACATACAATTTTTACTTGTAATCTTTTGTTGTAATTGTCTATAATTTCCACTATTCTCTTGATATCTACTTCATTTCAAGTCGTTTAAATAAATAATTCAATTTAATAATAATTTCGTTTGATAAATACATATTTTAAGTTCACACACTTTTCTGTGTATTAAAAATTACTTGTGTAAATTTCGAAAGTAATTCAATCTAAGCGCATATAATTTAAGTTTTCTCGCTTCTCTAATTTTAAACGTTCAATTTGTTGCTTTACTTCATTAAGGGAATATCAATTATATATTCGTGAATAGTTTAAGTTATTTCTGTTCTTCTAGCGAAGTTCTTAGTACGTGTCGCAAGGTGTTTAACTCTCTCTTTTGTTAACTCAAATTCTTTGTAATTATGGATATGTCAATAGATTATGCATCAGTTGTAATTAAAATACGTTTTTAATGTACGAAATCTGCATTTTAACGCACGAGTTCATATATGAATACTGCTTAAAATGCCAAAGAGTTTGTTTTCTTAATAAATATAAAACAAAAAATACCAAAGAGAAAAAAAATGGGTTAAAAAAACTTAAGTGCTTAAATGTGCCGTAATTGTAATAAGTTTTCTAAAAAGCCTTGAAATTCGTTCATATTTTATTGGCAGCTAATTTCGTTGATTACATTTTTGAGCATTTAAGAGGAAAAGAATTAGATACAAATAATAATTCCACATTTAATTAAGTACATTTAGAAACCTATCATATACATTTATAGTACTGCTCCTTTGCAGCGTTTAAGTTTAAGTTAAGTTTATTTTTACGTGTTTGCTTTTAAAAATGCTTCATCTATAATCATGCCATAACTTTATAAAAAGATTATCGCTCGCAGTTCTGAGTCAATTGTATTCTTTGTTTCATTCCAAGTTGTACATTTTTTATAGCAGGTAGTTTAACTTATATACATACTACTAATTTCTAACCAACGTTTCGAGTTAAGATTAAAATTACAAAAAAAAAAACCAAAAAAAATAAAAATAAAATAAAAAAAATAATAAATAAAATGTTCTTTGCTGTAATTAACCGTCTACAGCCCATACTTATTTCGATTTAATTTGTTAATTTAATTTAAATTGTGTTCGAAAACTCACAGCAGAAAATTTTTAAATTTTCAAAACCCAACGCAAATTAGTGTACTTAAATTCAATGATACGGCGACATTTTTAATAGTCTCTGAAATTTTCTTCGTTGTAGTCTATTGTCAGTAAAATCATTTGCGCCGGAAAGAACGGATGACAGTGTTGTCTTTCTTATTTATAACAATATTTGGTTAAATTGCTCGAAAATTGAGCCAAAGTTATAAAGGGTTTGGATCAAGTCACACGAAGTCCGTTAAATAACTCTATATTTCACTTTGGCCTAAAAGTTAAAGTTTTTATGAGTTTCTTAAGGCCCAATTCTAATCGAAACTCTTATGACGTGTGTAAACTATCGGTTAAGTATCCGGTTATATATCTAATAGCGCTATCAGCGATTTCTGTTAAAGTTTCTATGAGTTTTTTAAGGACCAATTGACAATTATTAACGAAACTTTTGTGTACGTGTGATTGTTCGTCTCTCTTTTCAACTGTCCATTTTTTCAACTGTTTGACCACAAATTTAATAATTAAAAACAAAAAAATTGAAAATTAATTAAATATTTTTGATAATTAGCGCAAAATATTCTAGTGAAATTTTATATTAGCATTTACCTTAAAATCGTAGGAAAATGTTGGACAGATTCCAAAAAAATTTACAATATTTAAAATTCAATTACTTGTGAATGAGTAAAATGAGTTTGTTGTTATTAAAAATTATCAATAATCCATTACTGAAAATCTATTGTATTTTATCTTGGTGGCCAACGGCATACATTTTCAACGCTTTAATTCACTTCGTAAATGTTTGCAAACCATTTAACATTATTTTTATTTATCGCAACGATAATTTTAATTAATCGCGATTTTTTTTATAAGAAATAAAGTTATTATAATAGTTTTTTTGAAGTCGGGAAAATTATTGCTGCTGTGAGTTTAATGTAAATTAAACAATATAGAACATCAAATAATTTAAAATTAGTTTTGTAAAATTTGTGTTCGATTATTTTCGATAACTATAACGATAGACGTTTTAGTCCTAACGGCGGGGGTGTTTATGTGTATATATGTATTTATAGGTATGCATGTTTAGTGTAGTTATGTTTTTGTTGTATGTCTTGTATTCTTTTTGTATTGTTTGTATGTTTGTTTATTATATTTTCACCAAATGCTAAAATTTTGTATTTCGTAAAATTATGATTTTCAAAATCGCTGGGAGTTTCTTTTTTTTTTATTTATTCATAAACGTGTGCATCGAATCTAAATTGTTTATACTTTTTTCTACTTGTTTTTTGTAGGTACATATTTTGTTTGTTTTGTTTCATGTCCTACTTTTTTCGTAAAAGTTGTTAGCACAAAAAACCGTAGTGTACAAAAATTAATTAGATAGTAAAGTTAGAATATAGTTTAAGTATGAAATCTCGTATAGTCAAAATGTTGAAGGGGATTCTTTGATCAGGCTTCTTTTACACATTGGTTTTGCTCTACATATATAATTTGTTTTGTTTTGGTTTATAGTACTTCGACATTTTTTTTCTTTCTTCGCTAGACTTTTAATATAACGTTTTGAAGACAGGTACACTTGTAGCGCTTTAAAACACAAATGTTTTAGACAAATGTATTTATCAATATCAATATGAAACATTGTTTGTGTTTTCTTTGTTCTTTTTTTTTTAATATTGTTACATTTAAGTAAATATATACCCTTTAACTATTTTTTGGTATATTTGTAAGTATGCTTTTGTTGCTAAAGTTCTGCATTGTTTTGCATGCTCTCTAAACGTAATCGTGGAATTAATCGTGTAATACTGGATAGTTTACTATAATATTCTTGAATATTTAATTTCACATTTAATAATTTTTTAATTTTATTTTTTTTGCGTTTCATTCTTTTAATTTTTGGACATTTAAGTTTAACCTTTAATATGTGTATATGTATGTTTTTGATTATGCTTAACATATATTTATATTTATATACTGCGATATATTATATGTTCTTGTATGTTTGTTTGTATTTGTTTTTAATATTAATACTTCAAAGCTACACATCGAGATAATCTATATACATACGTATAGGTATACATATTTATATATACGTATATATATTTATTTCTGTATATATGTAAACAACTACATAGTTCTTCGTATATATTTTCACATTTATGTTTTATTGCGTTGTTGGCTCAATTTATATATACTTGTATTAATATTCTTCATTTCCGGTTCCGTTAACCGTTTTACATGCAACCTATAAGTATATGTATTTATGTAGCTAAGTTTTCGTGGATTCTCCGTAAATTTAAACTATTCATCGTTAAGTTTTGTTCGTTATTTTGTTTTTGTTTTTCTTTTTGCTTTGGTTTTTGCTTTGTCGCTCTACAAAAGTGCTAAAATGACGCTTACTACTCCATGAGTAGAAATTCCCTAGACGTTTACACTTTGTTCTTTGTTTGCTGTATGTCACGGTATTAAATTAATTAGTCAATTCATATCGTCTAATTACCACAAAGTGTTTGTTAAATATTTAGTGAAAATTTTTCGCTATACATTTTTTTATTTGTGCAATACTGTTTCAACGAATGCCTTAGAAAAGAAAAGTACAGCAACAATTTTCGAGTTCAAAATTGTGTGTGTTTGTTTTCTAGCCATCAATAACGGCATTTTACAGTTTTTAACATTCTGTTAAGCGGACGTTTAACACTAGCTTAAATTGTACACACACACACATACGATTAATTTGGACTTTTGCCTTTTGCCTTTTCACTATTCAATATTTTACTGAAGCCTTATAATATTTATTGGTTTTGTTTCGTTTTCGAGCTTTTTGTGACGAAAGGAATGCGGTGTTTGAAATGTAGCTTTCGATTTTTAATTCATTTGTTTTTATATATTCATAGACAAATTATACTCGATTATATGTATATTCAGGTGGATATAGTGACTATAAAATTAATTGTTAAACCTCCAACGATTTCAGAAAAAATTATAATATTTAAATTATTTTTAAAAATTGCAAAAATATAGAATTTTATTAATCTAATTAAATAAGGAAACAAGGGTTTGGCTTGGCGTAAATTTGTTCGATCAAACACTCAATTCAAAATCATCGGTTATAGTTCTTCACCAGCACCTAATCATCGCTATTAACATATACTAACTCAATTATTATATTATTCTAACTCAATTAAATCTCAGCTTTCGATATTTGCCATAGTAAATTCATGCAACAATACTTGTATATTGAATAAATTGAAAAAATTATGGTTTTAAATTGGTCACTGCTTCAATAGAATAATTTAGAAACAATCAAACATTAATTGCGCAATTAAGTCTTCTTGGTTTCTCAAATTAACATTTTAACGCTCAATTAACATTTTATTTGGTAGAGAGTGCGAAATTTATAAGTTAATGTGAAAGTTTGGCTGTTTAGTGATGAAGCTTAATTGTTCAATTAAAGAATCTATTATATCAAATTGAGCTCAATTAACATTTTATTTGGCAAAGTGTGTTATTTGGTGAGTCAATGTAACATTTTGCGATCAATGTTTATTGAATATTTAATGATAAAACTTAAATGTTTTATTAAGATACCTTAAACGAATTTAGCTCAATTACTATGGCAATAAATTAAACTAATTATGTTTTTAATTAAGTTACTGTTTAAAAAAATTACAGACTTTACTTTTTTAATATCTGAGTCAATTGATTATTGAGTGATGCGATTTTAGAACTGTTATATTATATTATTTCGTAAACAGTAAATTGAGCTCAATTAAAATTTAATTTCAAATTGAAAAATTAAATTATTTGTTTAAATGTGGCTTCATGCGTAATGTGAGGAAAATATCATTTGAGAGTTTAATTAAATAAAAAAAAAATATATATATATATATATATATATTTTATCATATTTTTATAGTTCCATGGTAAATTTTCTGAATCCTACAGCATTTATGAACTATTAAAAATTATCACTATATGCTGGTGAAAAACTGTATTTTAAAAATTTTCCTAATTGTATACGGTTTTATACACTTGTGTTGGTCAAAAAATACAAACATATTTTATTGCCATGTGACCTATCAATCTAATTTGTTTGCGTTTAAAACGTAAGTTTGTTTTGGGAGTAAGAAACTGAATTTGAGGCCTTCAAAAAAAAACCGTTATTTTTGAGAGAATAAGTGTATATAACCCCTTAACCAATAATGTATATTTTAGAATACGCCAATTATGCCAATATTTGTTTTCAAAATATTTTTATGTAATTTAACGAACGTCACATCCGCTATCACCCCATCGTAAGAGTATAATTAAATTATATTTATACGTTAAAAAAAGCAATGTTTTCGAAAACTGCTTGCACTCTATATAACGGTTTTTTTTTGTTTTTAAGTAAATAAGATATCCGATGTTCACTCGCCTTTACTACTTTCTTTAAATATATGCTACATATTATAATAGTGCCATCACGCTCGCACGCTCATAGTCTGCAATACAACTACTATCTTAAAAGATGTTTTATATAAGTATGGTATAGGAAATCTAAACTCAGGATATTTTTAAATAACCTCTTAACATACGCTTATCAAAAAGTTCGTATCCTTCAAACTATTCGCTTTCTTATACCCTAACCACTACTATCGACCTTGCTGATTGCACCTAACCCAACTGATATTTGCCACAACTTACCACGACAACACTGCTCTGTGGCTTACCAGTCGCATCGCCGGTTTGTGATATTTTCTCTACTAAATCCAAACCCTCGATCACAAATGCAAATATGCCTGTAAAACCGCGCATTTCTCTTAAAATTATACGGAACTGTGAACCAACGAGACCTAAATTATCGTGACGCTTTTGACTGCGTCGCATGCCAACCGACCCGCGTATGGCTAGTATTTTTGTATCGTCGGGCATAAAGAAGCCCTCATCGTATACCGAGCGTCCGCCACGCCCATTATTCAATTCAAAATCGCCCGTAATAATACTCTCGTTTTCCCAACACTGGAAAATGTGACAACCCTTATAACCATAGCCGAGCTCTTGAGTGGCGAGTGCATTGAAATTCTTCGCCATTTTCGGCGCAACATCGCTACGCACCTCTATTAGGATGCGCCCGGAGTGTTGCCCATTGATTTCGATGTTAAAATAATAGATTGGATAGACGTGTACGCTGGGGTTAAGTAGCAATGTTGATTTCGTTTGTTGTTGTGTATTCGTAGCATTCTGCTGCTGCTGCTGTTGTTGTTGTTGTTGCAAATGCAGTAAGCTTAGACCTAAACCGTTGAGATCGGTGCTGGAAAAGAGATGTGAGGTGTTGTTGCGTTGTGCGCCAACCACCACTGATGTATTTGATGTCGTTGCCGGTGTGCCAATTGGTGCGATATCGGCGAAATTACCGCTTGCTGATTGTTGTTGTTGCAACAGCTGTTGCTGCTGTTGGGCGGCTTGTAAGCTTGCGTTAGATTTGCTAGAGAGCGAAATGATGTCGGCGTAAGTCTTGTGTACGGGCGAAGTTGGATTGTTAGCTTGTTGTTGTTGTGCAACGCTATTATTCGACGGTTGATTCTGTTGCAGGGCCTGCGCATAGGTTGCATGTGTGAAACTGGCGTTCGATGTGGGCAAATTACCGTTAATAGTTGTGGAAAGACTCACATGTGATATCATCGAGGTGAGCAAACCGTTCGACAACAAATGCTGTTGTTGCTGTTGATGTTGCTGTTGTTGTTGTTGCTGCTGCTGTTGCTGCTGTTGCTTCAACAACAACATATGACGCGAATATAATTGCGAAATGCAATAATTGGCCAGAAGCAGAACCGGGTTCTGATGGGCAGCCGTCGTTATGCCATTGAGGCCACCAATTACCGAACCCACACCGAAATTATCCAAATTGCCGCCATTGAGCACACAATTATGCATTTGCACAAGCGCTTGCTTGATAAGATCGAAATCAAAGACATAGCCACAATTGCGTATCATATCGTCCAATTTACATTGCAGGAACATCTCCTGATACTTGGCAATTAGCCGCTGCTTCTCGGCATGCAATGTGGCATAGAGCTTTAGAGCCTCAGCTGGTGTCTGTTTGTCAAGTATTTCGAGGCAGAGCCGCGCCTTACATAAATTTTCACGTATTTCAGAAATCTCCAAAGTGGGCATATGATTCAGCAGCTCCGCTTCGATTTGGGTCTTGAGCGTGGTACAGCTCTCCAATATTTTGAGCAGAAAATCACGCTGCTTTAATACCAAATGTTGTACATCGTTCAGCGTCTTCTGCATGCCAAGCAACTCTTTTGATATGTCCGAGTGTAGCGATTCCTTGGCTTCGATTTTGTTCTTCACCAAATGCGTGCGATGCTCTTCAGTGGCGGCACAGGCGCGACAAAGCAAGATATTGCACGCGCTACACCACAATGTGTTCGGCATGGCATGGGTCATGCAATTTTCGGTCATTTTTAATTTATCCAAATTGTTGTTCGTATTGTTGTTGCCAACGCCAATACTACTTAGATTACCGTTGCTGCCATCGCTATTGTTACTGTTATTGTTGTTGTTATTGACACTATTATTAATTACGCCACTCCCGCTAAGCGCACCGGTGGAGCCATTCGATGCAATCGACGACGAACGCTGCTGACGATCACGTTCACCGCATTTCATTTTTAAACTAAGCGCAGTCAAATTCTGTGTGAGATATAAAATCGCATTGTAGGTGGGTAAACTGTCCGTACGTGGCTCGGGTCCCTGTAGTTCGGTACGCTTCCAGCAGTGTACACAGTAGAGTTCATCGCTGCCTTCGCGCAGCAACGAATTGACACATTTGAGGCAGAAATAGTGGCGACACGTGAGAAGCTTGGGCAGCGCATCGTTATCGTTGAAGGGTAAATGGCAACAGCTGCAGATAAGGAGCTCCTCAAGCTCCGGCGGTACGGTCGCCAAGTCCATCTGTGTGTGCAGCATGGAAAAAGAGAGACGAAATTAGTTATTTAATATTTAAGATATTGTATTGTAGGAATTAAAAATCGATAATAATTGTGGATATATATTGATACATTTTTGTAATCGATTTTTGATAATTTTGTGTACTATATTTTTGTAGTGTTAGTTATTTAAAAGAGTATATGCATTGAGACTACAATTAATTGATAATTACCACTGATATTATCATTTGAAGTTTTGTGTTATCTACTGTACACAACATTTTTTTTAATGAACTATAGTTCTCTGCAGCGTTGCCTTTATACTGAATATCGCTTTGCTGTACATAATTTACCATATATG